TGTGAAGATTTAAACACATTCACTTCAAATTAAGTTTCCTTCCAGCTCCTTGGCCGATATACGTCCACCTACTAGACTGTCAGCTTTGATTCAACTGGCCTGTAACAGGTGAGCTGGAGCAGAAGAATGAAACTAGAAGTCTGGAATTCGGAACGGGGCAGTTGCATGCTGAAAATATCTGGAATCCAACGTGATAGAGCTGGGTGCGATAATATAGCTTGGGAAGACGGAAGGAGATTAGCAAGATGCTCAGGTTTCTGAAATGTCATAGGAAGGTTAGGCATAAATATACACTCAATACTGTAACGAGGCAGAACTGAAGCAGTTATAGCTGAAGCTTTTCTGTGACGGGCATACATCTACTTTTTAACAGTGCATTCTCATCCTCAGTTGCTAAATTTACTGTTACCTGCAGGAATCGTACTGATACCTGGATTGGGGATTTCAGCGTGCATCTATTTATGGCATTGGTAGTTACCAGGCTGTAAAAGAATGTAGCGTCTGAAAAAGAGAGTTGTATCCCTCAGCAGCCTTCACTGGTCCTGCAGGATACTTCTATAATACCTCTGAAGATCATGTGAAAACTTAATAGTTGCTTCAACTTTCACTGTCCAGGGCAGGACACCAACACAAATTTAACCCAGCACTCCCCATTTTTACTTATCCTTAACAACATTAGCAAGCTTGAAATGCAGCTCATTAAAAAAAAAAAATAAAAAAAAAAAAAAAAAAAAAAAATCAGTTTCAGATGCAAAACCTACTGATCTCCCCAAACAGTGAACACCCAAGCAAGACTGGTTATCCTATTTTTCCAGCATAGTCTCCACCACTGTGCAATTACTTTCTAAGATATGCCTGATTTTGCATCCAAGGAAACTAGAACCTGAATCAGACATCCCACACATCCAAAGACAAAGGAATCATCAGAAATGGATTGCCAAGCTGTATCCATGAACATAAACACACAAAACACCTCTAGCACTGAAAAAATGGAAAATGCAAGTGGGTTTTTTGGATTGGTTGGGTTTTATAATGCAAGTTTTTTGGTGTTCAGGTGTGGGGTTTTTTTCCCTTCAAGTAAGGCACAAACATACACAACCTTCAGTTGTTTGGGGGTTTTTTTGTTCATTTGTTTTTAAATGTAGGAAGTACCAACAAACCATTTAGCACCCACAAAGAAAGGCGTACTTCCCTCTTCAAAATTAGGTCACTACTTTTCTTATCAGCAAAATGAAATAAAACCGATGAGATACACACACAAAGAAGTTTTATGTTTTCTTCCCCTTCCCTTTATGAATAAATAACAACGTAATTCTTCCATATTTGGCTATAAGGGAGGACATTGATTATACCTGAATGTTAGCACCAAAAGTATTTTCTGGGAGTAAGGAATTTAAAGATAGCATTGTCGCTTTTCAAGATGACAACTTTTATTTCTGCTAAGGCAGATTAAGCTGCATATTAAAATTATTCATTTTTTAAACAACAGGCGTTATTTAAGTTTATGAGTGCATTATCAATTTAAGAACTATGCCAGTCTGTACCCAAAAGTGAAATGTCCAGTTTAAATATAGGGTCACACTGGACAAATTATGTGCAGAACAACAAATTCCGTACTCCCTCAAAGGGAGAACGTTATACACGCTATCCGAGTAGATTATTTTAGACTTAGGACTCTAAAGCACCTTACCATAAGCATAAAGTCACTTTGGATAAAGCCCCTCTTTTTAACTTGATGCATCCAAATAAACACCAAACTGAGCAGGGAATCAGTTACTCATCGCACTACACCCACCACTTGCCATCAAGAGTTGAGTTATAACCAGGACACATCCCCCCCAGGTGACAGGAGCCAGAGAGATGGAAGCGAAAGGGAAAACGACAGCCAGCATGGGGTTAGATTACACCGCTAACAACACGTCACCAGCCGGAGAACTTTCCAGAGCTGTATCTTTTCAGCAGAAACTGCTCACGCAGTATGGAACAGCACAAACCAGCCAGGTTCTCCAAGCAGCCAGCCTAGCTTGCGAGCTCACCCCTCCCATCAAAAGCAGGAACCTCGCTTCCTTCAGAGAGAAAATAAACTATGTGAGATCCACACCTATTGCTGCCCAGATCAAGATCAAGTTTCAAACATTTCATGTGTCAAAGGCACTGCATTACACACAAAATACTAAAGCTCCATTTGGACAGATGTTAGGATCCAGAAGCCACGTATGGATACAGTTTAACTGCAACTAACCCAGAAACGTACCTGAACCAAAACCCAAACCCAACTTTTAAATATGCAAGAGGGTGTTACTACTTTGAACCACCATTCCTTTCTTCATGCAAAGAAATAAAAAAATTAAGTGCTACCAATTTATTCACCAAGCCTGCACATAAATTTCTAGTCATACAGGAGTAACTTTTGCTTTTTTTATCAAATACTCCATCATCACAAAGAAAACATTACTTTTACCTAGTCAATACAAAGCCAAAAAAAACTCCAGAGATTTATTTAAATGCAAGTCAACACCAAAGTTGTGAGTTTTTACTGTATTAATCCTTAAGTCAGTTGGAGGGGTTGGTTAAAAAAAAAAAAAAGTAGTAATTTGGAAAGCTAAAAGCATTTATTGGGGAAACAAACTTTTGACTGAAGAGGTTAATTCTTCCACTGAGGTTAAGAAATCATTTCCTCCAAAACAAGCAAAACACTGTCATACACACCATACTGAGACCAGATGTGACCAACGCAAGTGTCCAATAAATAAGATAAGAAACTTGTCATCTCCTCAAAAGAAGTCCACTGGATTTTTCCCAGTCCTTTTCTAACTTTAGCTCTTACATGAATATATTCAAAAGGCTTTATATGAAAATGCCAACGTTCCCATTTCAAATGCAAACATACTTGTTCTAAAATATTCAGGCGTACATGCCTAAGAACAAAGGACGTAAATGCACGGACCTAATGAGAAGGAGAGAAAACGCAGGGAACGTCACTGCTACGGATGGAGAGAGCCATGACTGCTAAATAAAATCAAGTACAACAGAATGGCTAGAGGGAAATAGGATGGAGTGAAGAGGAACCGCTTGGGAAGCTTTTGAAGATGGAGAGAACACATACATCATAACTCTGCTCTGAGGAAAGCTTTTAGAATTTTTTCTTCAAGTTTCACAGCGTTATTCATTGAACAGCCACTCTTTGTGCTGAGCCGAAGTGGGACCGACCGGAACGCTGCCACAAGGCTGTACGCGCCCACCGAGCCACAGCAGTATACAACAACTTCACTCATACAGAAGGCTGAAAAGTGAAACTGGAGACTGAATATGCTCAAGTCGCCGTAAATGCATCCAGCAGACAAAAGGCACTTGTGTGCCTGTTTTGGGGAAGGGAGGGAAAAAAAAAAAAAAAAAAAGAGAGAGAGAAAAAAAAGCAGAAAATCTGTTGCTTCTAATCCAAGATCAAACACGTAGTGAAAAATCCCCCCGGAAGCGGAGAGCAGCATACTGATGAGTTTGATCATTCTTCAAGAATGATTTAGCTACTGCCAAAACATAACTTCAATAATTCAAACTGTTGTCCCATGAATTATGTGTTTAGACTGAGATCAAAGTAACGAGATTAGTCAATGAAACTACAGAAACAGCTCTATTAGAATTCTTTAGTCTAAACTTGCTAAAAAATAAGGTTCCTTAATGTCAGTACAACCTTTGAAACAGGAATAATTGAGCGTTTATTCTTAAGAAGGATGCTGAAAACAGTTCTTCAAGTATATTAATCTAGTTAAATGGAAGGTTGAAGTGGCATTAACAATCAAAATGAAGAATGTGGAAGCGTTAAATGGCATTAACAGAAAATTGCTAGTCATGAACAATGCCATTTGATGCAGCAATATTTTTCACCCACCTACAAGGGAAAACAAATCCTACCAACACTGTTTCCCTGCTGAAAACTCTTATTCATGCTACTGTATCTCATATAGCAGTGCAGAAAAGCACCCAACAGATCACTGTCACGTCCTCAGGGGGAAAAAAAAAAAAAAAAAAAAAAATCAAAACTAACATTCTTGGCACAATGAAGCTCCTTTACAAAGGAATGCCAGAAACTTTTCTACCAGCAGCTATTTCATTACAAACTTAAGGCATCTAAGCCCACATTTTCTTTTTCATTTAAGCATGAAGTTCTTAATTCAACTACAAAAAGCATGAAAACTAACGAAGTTACAGCGTACAGATTAGATTTTCCACAGAAAGATACTGCACTAGAAACACAGCAATGAAACAAGTCACTCCAACAAATTAATTGGATTAGACAAAACTATAATTACAGGTGTGCAAAGTACAGCGCAAGATAAAAATGTAAACAATTTTATAGCTTCATGAAATAAGGTTCAGTTAGCTAAAACATAATTGTTCCTTTATTAAGACCTTTATTTCAAGAAAGGAACACACTGAAATAAGGCTGCTGGAATTTCTTCTGGGACAAGGTGATCATCTCTATTCTTGCCCTAAATCTTTGGGTTTTCTTTCTAAAAAAAGAATAAGCACAAAAAGATTAAATAGCAGGTAGAGTGTAATCAAGACAGAATGGCTGGTTTCAGCATATTTTAAGACAGAAATCCCTTTCCAGCCATATCAGAAATGTTTTTAGCGCACTGAAAGACTTGGTAAGTAACTTAATGCAGCCTCATTCCAAAATTGGTTTTTAGATACCTAAAAGCAGATGCAAGGGCAGCTGGATCAACTAAACCAGAAAATTTCACAGAAATCTTGGCTTAAAGAACCATTAAGACTAAAGCTGGGTTTTCTCCTGCTCCGTTTGAAAATCACATAATCCATTACTTGAGGACCAAATGAGCTTACAACTCACTAACTAGGTCCTTTCGTTTCCTAAAGTCATTTGCTAATTAGCTCTTCCAGAATTCCCCGGTTTTCCAGATGTGAAAAAAAAGCTTCCAGGCTGCCATCCTGAAAAAACCCCCGACACCTCTGCAGGAATTCAGGCACTTCCAACATACCTGTCATGAAGCACCGCTGACACCTCCCCTCTGAGCAGAGAGCGATCCATGCTGCCTGGGTTAGCAACTCCCCTGCTGACCAAAGGAGATAAAATGTAATTTGTGATTTTCAGTGCGAGTAGCCACCCCAAAGCGTGCTTAACATGGCAGAACACACACAGTTGCAGCAAATAGCTGCCAAAGATCTGTGGAGTCCAGCTTCTCTTTTTTTTTTTTTTTTTTTTAAGTAAGAAAATTAAAGGGGTTGTTTGAAGAAAAAAAAAAAAAAAAAGTCACAGAAAGCCACAAAGCAGATGAGCCACGTTCTAAAATCTATTCAGGCACATCAGTATCCGCGTGCTGTCCGTCTCCATACCACCTTCTGAGGTTTTTACAGAAATGCAGCAAGGCTATCAAGAGCAGAAGAAAGAAAACTGACTCAAAAATAAATTCCATGAACTGAAAAGGAAAAAAAATTGCAGCCACATAAAAAGTGCCAGCCCCAATGAAAAACCTTTGTCCCAATCTTCCCCAGCTCCAGTGCACACAAACCCCTTCTGCATGCACTTTCTAGCCGCTGCTCAGCTGCGCTGCCTGTATTTCAGCTACTCCCTTGACTCCCAAAAACTTCAATTAGTCTTCTTTTGGCTTGCAAAGGCAGGATCTAATCTAGGATGCTAATTTCTAATTAACTTGTCTTGTATTCATGTGAGCTTTATGAACACAAGGAGAACATCTCAGAGGAAATATAACCACAGAATTCTGGTTCAATGCAAGGGCCAAAGCTTCAGTGCACCAAAGCTTCGCTGCTCCTCAGCTGTTAAAAGTCTGAACAAAAATGAGAGCAGACTTGGGCCTCATTTGAAGCACAAACAGTAAATGAAATGAGAAAATTGAATTGTTCTCTTACTTAATTATCTTTGTTCAACTTAGAGAAAAGTTTGAGAGGGATCTAATCACAGGTTTCCAATACCTAAAATGTAGCTGTAGAGACGATGGAGGTACTTCCTTCACAAGGATACACTTTTTCCTTATTTATTAAAAAAAAAAAAATCTTTCAAGAAAATGTGTTACGAACTGAATTACTTTCCAATGAAAACCAAAATATTCTGTATTAAAAAAATAAAAGTCACTGAATTTACTAGCCGTTCTTTTTGCCAATGAGGATGAAATTCAAAGTTGAACTAGGTCTTCAGACATTTCAATATTATGAAGGCTTGGGTGAATGTGACAGTATCTGTATCAAAATAGTATTTTCATTTCTTCTTTTCTACCCACATAGTACTTTGAGTCTTTGGACAGATCCACATTTCTGTTTTTAATCTTGCCTGCAGTACTACATCATTAGGCATGTGCCATTTTGCCTGACTGGTAATTTGTTTGCTGGGGGGAGCAAAGAAAGTGTTTTGTTTGCAGGATCTTTTCCCTTGGCAAGAGATTGAAGATACAGGGAACACAAAGGGTGCTGTTTCTCTAAAGAATTTAACGCATTCAGGCTAGCAAGAGCCTTAAAACACAGGTTACATTGATTAATGACTTAATCGATTTCTGCCATCAAATCAATTAGGATAAACTGCAAAAAAAAAAAAAAAATCTTTCACAAGCATATGCTGTCTGTATAAAGAGTTACTTTCAAATATACAACAATTTTTTTCCAGAAATATTTCTCCAACATCTTCAAGGTGCAACCTTCTATCCCTTCTCATCTACTCAGGTAAAAGCCATCTTTCACAAAATTAAATTACCCTTGTTTCAGAGAAGCTCCACATTTCTTAAACCTTTGAAACTTCTGAAATGCCTTCCTGCCTTACCCCTTCAGCCACGTTAATTTACTCCAGCACATCCATCCAATACTCCTGCTTCTCTCATCACATCAAGCATGAAAAGCTGCTTTCTAATGCCCTTCAGGGCTCAGCTTTGCTGTTTTTGCAACATTCGTTCCCCTTAATTAGGTCAACCTTTGGCAAACCGTCCAACAAGCATCTCTGTGTTTTCTTTCATGTGACCCCTCCACACACAAAGGTGCCTTAAAAAAAAAAAAAAAAGCAGCACAAGTTCTCCTTCAAAACAACCTCCAAGTCGGCAGTGACACATGGCACTTGGCCTTGGTCTGAGCGCTGATACATTGCAGCTATTTCTTCTTAGTCACTCGGTTTGATTTTCTACAGATCCCCATCAGGACCTGCTCTCTTTTTGTGCTCCAAGTTCTAAGCACTTTGGGTGAAAGATGTTTTGCTTTACCTTTGTATACCAGCATTGCTTGTCAGGTGAGTATTCAAACAACAAATTACTTAAGGAGAGCTTCTGCAAACTAGATATTGAGCTGTACTTTTCACAGCATTTTCTCGTACACACAAAATTAAGTAAAAGCAATTAAAAGAGTAAAAGATCTGAACTCGTTGCAGAACCAGTCGTTCATCTAGGTGAGGTAAAAAATGAGAAATCTCCTTCACAGGACAGCTCATTAATTTCTTCAGTTTTTATTTTTTCTTTATTTAAAACACAAGACTGCATCCAATAAGGCAGACTATCGTAAGCCTTTGCAGCAGGAACCAGGATCAAGGTGGCACAACACAGGTAAGCATTACAAGTGCAAGGAAGCAGCAATTGCTAAGGCAGCACTTTGCCTCTTACAAACCCAGTACAAAAAGCTGACTATATCTGCTCAAAAGCCACCAAAACTAAACATGACAAGGGAAGCAAACTGATTGCCGAGAACTCTGCTGGAACGGTAACGGCAGGGACCCAGGCCTGTCCATCAGGGGCTGTTCCAGTCCATCTGCAAACACCCAGATGCAGCATCTGTTGAGTCAGGGTTGCTTAGGAGCAACCGTTAAAGAGGGCATCAGACAAACATTTTAAAAAAGATTCCCCATGGATTTTTCTCTTTGATTGAAAAGACACTACGACAGTGTTCCTTACTACGTTGTTTTGTGGTTTTTTTTTAAAAAAAAAAACACCACACACACACACAAACCCCACCACCATACTGTTTCCAAATCTACTCAGTTTTGGTTCCTTGAAGCAAAAGCACGAGATCATTGTTAAAAACAAAAGTTTTGTGAAACTGTCCACAGTCTAAAATTTAAGGAAGCTTCTCTTACTAAAAACCCTACACACTTCATATCGCACACAGGAGTTCATTAAAATTCAGGAGTAGGCATACGCTGGATCAGTTCAGACTTCCTGAAATACCATTTGCAAGCGCTGCAATGCCAGGTAAGCCGCATACACCAAAAAGGAAGCGAGACTCTTTACTAGAACAGGACCCACTACACTGAACTCCATCATACAAAACCATATTTAAAATCAATGCAAGTAATTGTTGTTTTATGTAAACCATTCTACTGCAAAACTAGCTTGTACAGCACACGACACAGCACTATTAAAGCAATGTAAACAAATGGCTTGTGAAAAATACGCTCTAACATGCAGGATGCAAGCTGGCGATGGGAATATTACCAACCTGCAGAGTAGAAAGCTCCAGAAGATCTACCACCTTGCCCTCATCATCCTAAAACACATCCCAAAACAGTCCAGAAGTACGTCCGCACCAAGGCAGAATACAAACTGTTTCACTGCATAGCTATGGCAACCTTTAATAAGACATTGTACAGACCACAAAATAAGCCTCTAGAACACGGGGAAAGAAAAACCTTTATACGGTCTTAATGCAATCAAACCTATAATCTCAAAACCATTCAGCAATTTCAACCTCTGCCTAGCGTTTGTAGGAATACAATCACTCCTCTGTGCTCCCGAGCTAAAACAGGATTATTTCATTGCCTAAGTCCACCGGCATCTGTGCCCTGACGGATCTTGGCTCTCAAGTCGATCCGTGTTTTGGCAGTTATGGGCTTCCTAATTTGAACTCTGAGAGTGACAAGTCTGACAATACCAGAATCATTGTTACGTTTCAAGGCAAACACAGAGTGAGATTTTATATAAAGATTTATGTAACTGAAGTTTAAGAACAAATCTGTCTGCTTGTACAGCGTTAAGTGCAGGATAAAAGCTGGACTTAAAAAAGCTCGGAACACACTTTTACTCAAAGTCCAATCCACTGGTTTGCATGAGCCACTGGCCATCGTCAGAGGTCTCTCCTCTCTTTGTACATTATTTCTATAGTTTATCTGAAGCAAATCAGCTGCTCTTTCCACACCAATGACCATGAAGATGACACTGCCTCCAGCCTATACCCCTGTGCCTAGACTAATCCCTCAGCCTACCTGCTATGGCTTTGTAGCCAACCACCTCATCAAGAGCAGGGTCCTACAGCTCTTCCCCACCAACACCTCACAGCCAGTAGACCCCACAGACACGTCTCTCCAGACTGTAGCTGAAGGGGCACCTTTTGCCACATCCACCATCTCAGACTGTATTTCAGGTTTGGACAGTAAGCTGTGAAGAACCGGGCTGGTGAGTCCCATGCACCTAACACGTTACAGGTGGCAGAAGGGTTCTCCCGTGCCCCCTTCCCTTCTTCAATGCCCTTACTTTTTTGCCAGCAAAGTTAGCTTTTGCCTGAAGATCTCCAAGGACAAAAAAACCCACCTTGTTACCCAGCATCACATCTTTTCCAAAAATGGAGCAGGGACCTGAAACTCACCCCTCTCCACAAGGAGCTGCATGTGACACCAGGCCAGGGCACTGCAAGGACAGTCTCAACCCACTGCACTGAAAGCGAAGGAGCAGAAAGCAGAATTTCTGCAACGCTGAGATGCATGTGTCAAAGCATTGTTTTAAATGAAACATTCTTTTGAATTTTACGTTAGCTGACCAACTGTTCCATGCCTGGATTTGCACAATGAATCAAATGTAAACTCTCACATAATTACACCAAGATGATTCAAACTTATCAAGCTTATTAGTTAGCCCAAAAATATCCAACTGATGTGACGTAAAAGCATTCTTAAAATGTTTAAGTCCTTACAGATTTACTGTATCTTCAGTGTTCAGCAAAGCACTGGCAACTCACCTGCATTTTTCATCCCTCATAAACCCTTTCTCCAATTTAAGTCACCTATGGCTACAACTTCAGCATATTAAAAGCTCTTATCAAGCTTATTAGTTAGCCCAAAAATATCCAACTGATGTGACGTAAAAGCATTCTTAAAATGTTTAAGTCCTTACAGATTTACTGTATCTTCAGTGTTCAGCAAAGCACTGGCAACTCACCTGCATTTTTCATCCCTCATAAACCCTTTCTCCAATTTAAGTCACCTATGGCTACAAGTTCAGCATATTAAAAGCTAATTCATCACCACCTACACTTAATAAATCCACACCAGTGAAACCAATTCCACTGACAACAGTTTGATTAGAGGAGCATTGGATTAAAAAAAAAAAAAGCACACAGATGCAATCCAGCAAACACAAGTAAAAGAAAAACCGGTATTATCTCCAGTAAGACAACAGGACTGATGACATTTGGATCGCACTTTCTCCTCTCTTGCAGTGAAAAAAATCCCAGTAAGAAACCAGCTGCCGACTGTCAGTTATTTTAAGAGCATAAAGCTTTGTGTGGTGACTGAGACCAGGGAAGGCCAACGGAACATATTAGTCCATTCAGGAGGAAACGCAATAGCTTAGATACAGCATGTCCCTTCGGTGTCCAACTTGTCACATACACCCCTAATCTACTGATTACCAAGGGCACAGCTCAAGTACCTATCACTACTGTACAAATTAGACTTACTCAGACATGGGCAGATGTCAAGTAGAACAAGGCACCCTCATTCAGCCTGTCAGGAAAAAAAAAAATCAACATCGGGAATGGGTGTATATCTCTGTGTTTTGGTTGAAGTACTTTATTTTTTAAGTTTATGAATGTGGGAGTCAATACTACTAGGTGAAAAGGCTTTTATTGCACATTCTCACTTTATTAACAAAGACGTATTTTAACTTATCGGACTAAGTTGCAGCATATATTTCAAACCCTTCAAAGCTCGCTGTTTGAGCAAAGCCAAAACATTTTTTCCACTTTTAACCAGAAATCCTGTATATTCAAGACTGCCCAGTAATAAACCATGATAAAAACTGTAACAGGTAAACAGCAATTTCCATTCTACATCCCACAAGCTTTATATAACTGTATAAATACCACTCACAGAAAGAGATATTACAGCACAGAGGTTAAAGCCAAGGTTATGATCACGTAGAACCGGGAAAAGAAACCGGTTCCTGCACCTCCATGCTGCAACAAGGACCAAACCCTATTCAATTCACAAGCTAGCCCATTATACCTCACCCATATTCACCCTTGCAATATCCCGTGAGAATTAATGAAAGTAGCCAGATAGGCATTATCTGTTCTTGCAGCCACTAATGCTGACACCGAGGAGTCTTAATGTAGGCAAATCCAGAAACGCTGCTCACAGCGGCTGTCATCGGCTGTACGCCTTACCCACTCTCAAGTATCAGAGCACACCCCGCCCCAGCCATATGCTGAAGACCATGAAAAGCTGACTGCTATGTACTAAGGTCCTTAACGGCAACCATCTCTACAAATTAAATGCCAGCCCCACAAAATAACTGTGATGTACTTTTCACAGAGCCTTTTCCGAAAGTTACCACACTAAAATACAGTCAACATCTGTAAACATTCAAAGAGAAACATATGTATTATCAGTAAGTGTGGCATCACTACAAAAATATTTTAAGGTATGTAGACTGATACTTTGAACACTTATACCTAAACTTCATTTCTTGAAAAAAAAAAACCAAAAGCTAGAACAATCACATTCCAATTTTATTAAGCTGAGAACAAAGATCTTATTCAAAAAATGAAGTTATGTCTCAACTGCAAATTTTTCCAAGCTCTGTCAAGTGATACCCACCTGACAAGTAAATACAACTGTACTTGTCTAACACACTGTATCTGTCTCCAGCACATCAAACTTGTGCAAGCCTGTACAGACCAGATGGCCACACAAGTTCTGCTTCCTTCCTTCACCCTCATACGTTCTAGAAAGCTACAGCAAGAGTCTAAAGACCTTTTTTTAAGAGGGTAAAGATTTTCAGTATGAAAAAGCTCCTTTGCCCTAAGGAAACAGCCTAGAAAGTTGAAACAAGAGAATCTGAACCAAAGCAAATCTTTGGTGAGATCCCCTCACCTCCTTACTAACAGCAAGCATATCTGTTACTGAGTTTGGAGAATTTAGACAGGGACACTTAAGAGCAGCGTTACCCTCAAAGGAAGCAGCAGACCCCTGAGCAAGTCCCACCTGGCTTACTGGGTCTTGGGGGCAGACCGGAGCAGTTCGACAAGCTGCAGAAGAAAGCTCTGCCCGCAAGATCTAATCCAGGGACGCTGCTCAAGCCCTCACCAGAATCTGAAAACAGGGAGAACAACATGTGCTATGACCAAGCAATCAAACTCTCCACTACTCTGGTTATCTGCAAAAGGCATGACAGAAGGTAATATTTTTATTTAAAAGATTATTATTTAAAGTTGTTATTATTATTAAATAATATTCCATATTATCACTACTACTCAGCCAACTGTGACAAAGCCTTCATGGACTTTGGCCACAAGAGAGTGATCTCAAGATCACAGAGTAAATCAAATCAATGTTGTAGTTCCTAAGTCAGCTGGATCAGCAAAGGGACTCGTCCTGCTGCTTCATAAAGAATCCAGCACCTGGCCAAGACACCACTACACAGAAATCCTCCCACAGCCTTCCTGAATTGGCAAGCAGAGCCTGGAAGAAGCCAAGGGAGAGATGACCTCAAGCCAATACTATCTTGAAGCAGATTTTCTCTTGACTGAAAGCATGACAGACTACCAACTACTATTTGCAGATGCCAAACCTCATCCCAGAATGAGGAAATTAAGCATTAATGACATTTTTTGAAAGTAGTTACTAAACTACAAATCACAAAACTGTATCTATGAAAACATGCAAAGGGCTCCAGGATGAGGGAAGCCTAAAAACCATTTAAAAAAACTTTTGCTTACATCTAGGTAACAAAAAAAGGCAAATCCCATGCAAGAATCCAAACTGGTTCCTACCTGGGAGTTTAAGCTATTACTAGTCTATTATAATAAAAGGGTATTTTAAAATGTTTTTTAAAAGAACAGAATTTTCATGGTGTAGCAAAAATAAAGGCAAAAAAATTTAGAAATCAAGATGCCTGAAGCAACAGCAGTTCTTCTAACTTGAGCTCTTCGGTGCCAAGAAAAGCACTGGAGTTATCCACAAAGGCACCATTCTCGTAGATAATTATCATTAGAACAAAGCAGTAGCTCCAGAGTATCAAAACTTATGGTTTAAAAGAAAGCACTCAAGACCACATTATTCATATTATACTTAAAACAAAAAAAATAAGCACAAAGACTATCATGGAAAATCCTAAAATAACATGCTGCTTAAATTCTCAACTGTTAGTGGAAATTTGGCAAGGAAAAGGAAACACTGGGACTAATTGCCCCAAAGGAAAGAGCTGGCTGATGAGTCTATAGGGCCAGAAACAGAGTATTTATGGAGTCCATCTGACAAATAAGACATTGCATCACCTAACTGTGATCATAAAAAATGACCTTGTTTCCACAGAAGTAAATCCTTTAAGTACTTATTTAGGTATAGTTATATCCTGACACAGAGGTTCTTCCTTTACTGTCATTATTTTGGGAGCACAGTTTAACTTCATGCTCCTAGAATATTGCTGGGTTCCAGCAGACAGGAACTGAAAGCTTCCAGGAAAGCCTTTATTGACTGCTACTATTCCCATCTTCTTCGTGGCAAATACATCAGACTTCCAATCAAAATTAGAAAGGGACAATAAATTGTTAATAACCTGTCATGTAGAATCGGTAGCACCTGTAAGCTTGAGAAGGGCTTCTTTAAATACCAATTTAACCCTACTAAAGGTTACCCATATAACCAACATCAGGGGGTTTTACTGATGTCCAGAACACATTCAGCAGTCAACAGTAAAAGCCTTCAGCAGACTGATCACTGTAGAAAAGTTAAGCGCCATGGTTAATCATTTATGAAACCATACATATGCTATTGCTCCGTCTTCCAGCTCTTTATTTCAACAATCAGCTTAGTCTATGGTTTCCACCAAGGGCTCTATATTCACAGCTTTCCAGAACCAACTGAAGCTGTTACGCAAATGGCAGAGTTATTGTAAGTTAGCAAAAAAAATAAATAAATTCCCACATTAGCATTTTGGGCTTTTTAGAAAACACACATCAGTTACTCACAAAGCGTCTCTCCACATCATCTCTGATAAGCGGAAATATCTCCTCTGTTCTTCATGCACCTGTAGTCAAACAGAAAAGAATTGAAGCAGTCACAGACAGACATCCCAAAATAGCATCTGCCTCCCTGATCCCGTGGATTTTCACAAAACAAACCAAGATTCGTTCTAAACATTCCCACACAATATGATTTTTCCCCATTTTGCTATCTTTCTCCAATAAAATTACAGAGATAAAGGAGCACAAAAGAAAGAAAACTGCTTCTTGTTTGCATGCCTTACGCTGCCCTTTGCTGTGGAAACAAGGATGAATTATGAAAACTAATCAAGTGAACGGAGAGTGCACATGGCCTAGATTTTTCAAATAATCTCTTGGTTTAACCCAGTTGTTCCTGAGCCTGCCTATCCCATGAACAATTTACTAAAATGGAAGCTGTGACTGATTAAAGCCACCTTTTATTTTAAGAGGGAGATGCAAGATGTAATCACATTAATTTGTAGAGAAGAGGCCAAAATTTTAATGAGTTCCATTTTTAAGATCTAATACAGTTGATCAAAACCTCCTTGTTCAATTTTTCATGTCTCAAGAGTGTGATATCTTACAGCCATTAACCAAAATGAAAGACTACAGACTATACTCAAGTGTGTGAACTTGTGCTTCCACTTGAAGGGACAGCAAAGAAGTTGCAATGTTTCAATTTGCTGACATCATTTACCAGCAAGCGTTACAGATACAAACTAGGCAACACCCCTGAAAAAAGCCACACTTCTGATTTTTGGTCTTGTATATATTTTACATTGATAAACATAAGTGAATGATAAAAAATTAGTAGCTGTAAGAATTAAATACTTCTTTAAAGCAATTTACTATTAATTCACAGCCCAAAGCAGAAATTCCTATTTCTTAATTAATACTTTTAACTACAAAAGTAAATTAGCATTTGTAGATATGGTCACAAAACAGTAAATCTGTGTAACAGATTTCAAACAGCAGCTCAGTTATATATAACAGAAACCAGAAACTTCTGCAAATCATCCTCTCCCCTCCAACTGCTCTGTACATTACAAATAAAATTCAGACTTCAGGGAGTAGGTCACAAGCAATGCTAATTTAGGAGCCTGTCTAAAATTTTGTTAAAGCAGATTTACACATTCAGTGGAAAGAAATCACACACAATATTTGTAGGCATGAATTCTAAATTCAGTGTGTGCTTTGCAATACTTTAAACATGCCGTAACGGAGACGGCATCAAACAGAATCGTTTAACAGCACCCAACTTGCCTGCTCCCTCCCACTGATGCTAGAGCAGCTGGTTGAGTACCTTGCTTCTTAACTCCTGGTGTTGCTGCACCTCGGGACATCCTCTTGTTTTAAATAAATTCCAGATTTCCCTCTATTAAAGAAGTCTGCTGAGTAAATAGGGTATGTTCTATCTATCCTCCATCATAAACCCAACATGTTCAAGAAGTACCATGCACATCTGAACCGTTTTCCTACCATCACACTCTGAAATAGTTATTTGCAAAGTCCTACGTGATGTGCAGCCTGGTTGATGCCGTTAGGATGGATTCTGCAGCCTGACTCCTTGTTTCACCATCCCGTGGGCACCGCACAGACCTCTCTGGTGAGGCAAAGACACCGCACAGCAGCATGAAGGAACCAAAGGACAGGTGGCCCTCAACTTTGCAGAACTCTTAAGGTTGGGATTAAGTTAATTCTAAGAAATACATGAAGTTGGCCTCCTCTTGGGCAAGCATACAGCACAGATGGGTTTGCGTATGTAGTTAAGCATCTTCTTAAGGAAGAAATTCTTTACAATGAGGGTAGTGAAACACTGGAACAGGTTGCCCAGAGAGGTGGTGGAGGCCCCATCCCTGGAAACATTCAAGGCCAGGTTGGACGGGGCTCTGAGCAACCTGATCTGGTTAGCAGTGTCCCTGCTCACTGCAGGGGGGTTGGACTAGATGACCTCTAGGGGTCCCTTCCAACCCAAAACATTCTAGGATTCTATGATTCTTTCCATACACCTGCTGAGTGAGGTCAAAGCCATGTCCCCTTGATGTGGTTTTAATGGGGTTGCTTATCTGTACGCATCAGCTATGCTGCTCACTCCAGCTTGCTTACAGTTTGGGGAAAAATACCTGACCTTTCAATTATTAACTACAGGTAATTTTTTTTTTTAATCCTTCCATTTTACATCATTTCCCTAAACACGTCACTCCAAGTCAACTTAGCTGCAAGTTTGTTAAAGTTTTTGGAGACGTCTTAGTAGCACACAGTAAATTTGTGCTGCACCCGACAAAACCAGGCCTGAATTCCTGAAAAGATCTGTTTCACCTTCTTCCAGAGACTGTTTAACACATTAGACTGGCCAAACTATTTACACAGAGTCAGTACTACCACAACTAACTTTAACCCTGTTGCCTAGCTTCAAATAAAAAGCTATGAAAGCACCTTCAAAAATGAAATCCCTTCTACCCATACATCTCCCCTCACCTGAAGGTTTTTCTGGGACAAGGTTTTAGCAGAACAGCTTATGTTTTCTGCTCACATTACTCAGCCTGTGAAAGAAAGCTGAGCCAATGATACTGCGAGGTGAAAGCTGAATTTACTTTTTTTTTTTAAATTTGAGCTTTTTTTCTTTAAACAGATGCTGATGGGACAAAAGAAACTACATCTCTGGAGCTGCATAGCTGGCTTGCAGTAGAAAATAATGAGAAATGCTACAGGGTTTTTTTTTTTTTCTTCCTGTACATAGGGGAAAACTAAAGAATACAAGAACAAATAGTGCAGGATGGGCAAGCTGATGCACACAAGTTCTAAAACAGGCAAATGACGGATTTTCTTCCAATAACGTACAAAATTCAGCAAGTGCATGAGGAATATTCACCAAGTCTCATTACCACAGAAATTCAGACAGTTCACATCGTGTTAAAAACAAAACTCTTCATACTCAGAAAAGTTTTAGTTAACTTTCGACTTTAACAACAGATCTGCTACTGAGACTTTTCCATCCCCACCGTTGCTTTTCCATCCCCACTGTTCATTCCACGTGCCCAACAGAAAACCATGAGAAATTCACACCTCCGCTTACAACTTTACAGCTACTCACTGTGTCCCCAGAGAGGACAAATCCGAGCACGGGCACGAACGCACCTCCCCTGCCCAGAGCTGGGGGCTGAACTTCTCACTGCTGTGCAAGTTCCTCAGATCTCTGGTTTGTGGTGTTCACTCTTGTTGGTGCTGTTACATTTTGCGGTCATTCTTTCAGATATGCAAAAGTGAGTACGTATATTTATGAATAATGATTCATTTCCTATATAACCCATTATATTTAACAACCTTGAGCATGAATTTAGGAAGACAATTTAAAAGGGGTGTGGTTAAGACCCATGTAAAATTGATTAGCATTTCACAGGGAAGTTAAACTACTACTTATTCCAACTCCATAAAATAAATAAAAACACTACTTGTGTTGCTCATATGCCAGTCCACACAACTCACATAGCAGACACCCTGTAAAACTGTTTTATTTTTATATTTCATTGTCTATCAGGATGCTCTAGATCTTTCAGAGTTGACAGATGATGCACATGGCTTATACAGGTTACCTGTATCAATTACAGTCAGCTCTTCAGGAACAGCAGCAAATTAGTGACACAAGACACGTCAAAGAGTGTACAACAAAGTGTGTGGGGCACAGTCCAGGAAGCCACTAAATCAACAAACCCACACATCCTCAGTGGCGAAAATATGAGCATACAGTGAACACGAAAAGTACACTCATGGGGTCAGAGGACAGCCCTCAGCAAACACATCATTTCTACAGAAGGCAAGCTGTTCTCAAATGATGCTCAGAAATCACACCACCACTGGTGTTCAGCCTGGGGAAGAGGAGGCTGAGACCTTATCGCTCCCTACAGCTGCCTGACAGGAGGGGGGAGCCGAGGGGGGCGTCAGGTTCTGCTCCCTGATAATGGGCGATGGGAAGATGGGAAATGGCCTCAAGTTGTGCCAGGGCAGGTTTAGGCTGGACATTAGGAACAACTTCTTCACCAAAAGGGTTGTCAAGCACTGGAACAGGCTGCCCAGGGAAGTGGTGGAGTCCCCATCCCTGGAGGTATTTAAAAGCCGGGCAGATGAGGTGCTTAGGGACATGGTTTAGTGGTGGGATGGCAGGGTTAGGTTAAGGGTTGGACTTGATGATCTTAAAGGTCTTTTCCAACCTAAACAATTCTACAAGATGCTATGATTTAGCCTGACCTACAGCGTTACCGCAGCCATTTCTCTAGCACAGTAGCCAATGAAAATTAAAATCATAAAAAAACTAGAACTGCTGAAAAACAGACCGTTGACTAAATCCACAAGGAGCAAGAGGCTAAATGCTAGCCTGGGAACATTAATGAAGGACGCAGTTCCACATTGCACTTAGTCTGACCTAACTACCACTTGCCTACCTTGTGCTGAACCTAACCAGCCAGCCAGCCGCACAATCCACCAGAGCACGGCAGGGGCAGGGCCAGCACAGGTATCCTTGCGTCAGGCGGGCAGGGTGATCCCACTCACCTGGGGGCAGCCGCGCATCCCCAGCACCCACGGAGCAACCACGCAAAGAGCAGAAGAAAGCAGCACCGTCCCTTTTAGCAGCAGCTGATTACATCCGACATTGAACTATACTCTTAAAAGAACCGCTTTAATTTCTAATTAATAAAAGAGAATTTTTCTCTAAATACGGAGAAGTATATGCCTGAAAAGGCTTTTTTTTTTTAATCTTAAAAGTAGGATGCAGAATAGCCTGATGTAGGCATTTTCAGCATGAACTTTGTACATGTTTCGGGACATTAGCATAGCCTCCCATTTTTTAACAGGCATCAGAGTTGCATTACCTGAGAGCAGTATTAGCATATATCAAGTATCACCTGGCAATCAAGAATTAACAAGTAGAACCATTACTATTTACCACCTACAAACTAGAAGTATGTAAGTATTTAAACATTTTCAATAAAAATCAAGCCCATGCACAAAAGAAACCCCATATCTTAGACTACAGAAGGTACAACTGAAGCTACCAATTTGCTTCAGTCAGCCAAGGTACTGCATTTTGAACAAGTCAGTGTCACAAAGGAAGCCAATAAACTCTTGAAATACAATGCTAGGTAGCAGAACAGATCCTATCCTAATGGAAATTTAGTAATTGTATTAAGCAAAGAATTTTTACCCACCAAAAGCAATGCTACCATGCTCATTAACTGCAGTTACATAATGTCCTTTTTAATGTACTTTAAAAATGTGTTCAATAAAAATTTTATTTGACCTCTTTTAGGAATGCAAAATAATCCAAGCTTTGTGTTCACATAAGCTTAGAAGTCTTCAGTAATATTTTATGTATTAAAAAAACCCCCTATCTTCTCATTAGTATAGTAATTCACTCATATAGCAAAAGCAAATAGTTCTCTGAAGAAGACTGAACCATTAATTCGTTGCTTATAAATCACATCCAAGCAAAACACCTGCAGTTTAAAATGGCACCACAGGCAGCAGGAAAATGCTATGCCGTATCGGATGCCCCTATATTATGCTCTCAAAATCAGGAGCTTCAGCAATTACAGCATAGAATAATCCAACCCCAGGGAATGGGCTTTTCTCCAATTAGGTTGAGCCCTAACAAGACCGGCTCTACACAGCAATCCTAGCCTGGGACCAAAGGAGAGGGGGGCAAGGAGGAGGCTGCAGATGACACACCACAGGGACAAGGAGTTTAAGGTGACAGCACGGGGAGGGGACAAGGAGGCAGCAGGGACCAGTGTCCCAAAACACCAGACAGCACAAGCATGACAAGCCAGCTCCCTGCCAGAGCCACACTGACCTGAGGGGTCAGTAACCTCCCTGGGTTCACATCAGCTTTGTTGCTTGGATGGCAGCACTGCCCTGCCTCTTCTGCCCATGGCCCAAACATCTGCACCATCCCTTCATCCACAGCTGCAGCTCCAAGCATCGTTCACAGCTGTGCACGGCACCCAGACGGTCTGGTAGTGGCAGCTGCCTAAAACACTGGTGTCCCCCCACTGCTATCACTACACCCCACAATCCAGAGCAGGTCCCTACCAACGACGATGCCCACACTCCTGTTTGCGGGGTGTCCAGACTATAAAAGCAAGCATCTTCCATGCCACTCCCCTATTAAAGGCAGTGTGGGCTTCTGCCTCCGTGGTTATGCCTGGAGGAAAGGTTTTAATCCTTCTCTCTCGAGAGCCCTGGAAGTAGAGAGTTATGACTCTCAGCCTACGTGGATTGCTTCCATTTGTCAGGAGCTCCATTCTGGGGAGTGTATGCCACAGATTTAAAGGCATCAACTAAATACTGCTCTGTAAGGGTTAATGAAAAGGCCAGTTCACACCAGACTGAAAACAAGTGATAACAACAGGAGATTAAATCCTGTGAAGCTTCCTAGTAAAATAATGCACACTTCAGTAGACTGAAATCTTTCAGTCTTCAAAAGTGACTTTTGGATAGTCAGCATACATTATCTGACAATAAGAGCAAAAAAGCTCAGAACATTGCAGCCCACTTTCCGATTTTCTGCTGTAAAACCTTCTGGTACCCCTCTCCTATATCGCACACCAGAGCATCAGAGCTGCCTGCTCCACCGAGAAACGAAATCTGTGGTATTTCCTTAAGCTACCATTCAAGTATCCATGCGACAAGCCACCTTGGAATCACTTTCCACTAAACTATGAGCCTTCCCACCTGCTCTTACTTCAATCAGCCACATCCTTTACCTGCAGGCTTCATCTAAACCACTTCCTTAGGAAAAAGAAATGTCTACATATGCAGATAAAGGCCTGGGAAAAATGTTTCTGGACCAAGTTAGTCAGCATGATTTCAAACACCAGTCACCATCAGCAAGCTTACTAATTCTGGAGCGCTGTTAACGGGTGAAGGTGGAAGCCAAGGGAACACCAGACTGCCGATCAGCTTTGTTTTCTAACAGCTATTCTGAGCATACCTTAAAAAGACACAACCGCCGACCGGATAATTCAGGAAACACTGGGTCATAAGGCTATCCAGAGCACAACATGGCACACACCACGCACGGGCTTATCGTAAGCCAAACAAATGACATGAGAGTTGAGTAAGATGCATTTCACATGTTAGTAATTTAGCTTATTACTTAGTAGCATGTGGACATTTTCTAACACTACGGGATTAGTAGCAAATTTGGATTTCTAATGCTACTTGTCCTAGAAATGGACATTAAGAACCTCCCAAACACGAGGACCTTGATCACCAGTACAACAGCAGTCCAGCTCTTTTGGCCCCAATTACCACCTCAAAAGAAAAGGAAAAGCCACACAACTTTTAGGTAACTGATTAGCAGGGAACAAAAAACCCAAGATTATTCTTGATGCCTCAACTTGTACCAGGAATCATTTCCATCCTTAAAATTCCTCTTAACTACACCGTACATGCATGATTACTCTCTGACATTACATACATTTGTTCTCAACTCTACAAGAAATCGCAAGGGTTTGGTCAGAGCAAATCCGTGAACAGCGAAGTTCCCTGGCTCACCTTTCAAACAGCGAAGCTTCTTGCTAAATAGGACCATTTAAAATGAATGAATGTTTTACCTCTGAGCAGCACAGCTTAAAATTGTTAGCTCAGTCTATCCATGATCAGAAAAAGTAAACTCAAGCTTTAGCCACATTCTGGTAAGATTTCAAATCCATTTAATAATCTACAAATATATACATTTGTCTTTTTCAGCTAACCTGAATAAGCTTCTCAAAAAGCTGAAAGCAGTCAGTCTCCAGTGTCTCCCTGTGGCGCATACGCTATTTTGTACGGAGAACTAAACAGCTTCCTAGGTCTTTATCAGTTATTCTAATAAGTGACCTACGGCTACACAATTGGACAATTACAGGATTTTCAAAGGAGAGTTCTGAGATTTTAAAGATCGTGACATCGCCTAACAGCTCAAGTATATCAACCAGTTTTTGAAAGCCCTGGGTAAAACCCTGCTCCCATGGAAGAATTAAACATGACATGGTCAGAGACTTCTACAAAAGAAAATTAAATATTTTTCATTTGAACATTTGCATGTTAAGCATTTAAACCACTGCAAAGACTTTAGATACAAGAGTTTCCAAGAGCTGTTCATTTCGAATTGACTATATTCAAATCATGATATTTAACAATACAAAAGCCTTCTAATTTCTGTCCCAGTAAAGGCTGACAAATAGCATCAACAGCATCTGCTGAAGATTTACACTTTACAAGTATGCTACTCACCCACACAGTCTCTCGTAAGTAATCTATTTTGTACTGGGAAAATTCATCAGAATAATTTTCAATGCATCAATTTAAGGATGCCTACTGCAACATCTGGAAAAGGCTATATAAAGAATACAGAGCATGTACACATAAATATTTATTTATGTATCCTTCAAACTAGAAAGTTTCAGGCTACCAACACCACAAAAATATCTGAATATTCTGATCAACACTCAAGAATACCTTTAAAGGTGCCTGATTTCTTGGATACATGAACCATTTAATCAACTTCCATTAAACATCTAATCAACATCTGCGAGTTTCATATCAGGAAAGCACCACACAGAAGTCAGATTTGAAAGGTGAGACCAAAGACCTGTTTAGCCCAGCTACCAGTCTAACAGCATTCAATTTGAGAGCAGTGAGAGTAGAACACCACTGCACGCTGACAGCTTCCGTCAGCCAGTGTTTTTGGGACTGCCTCCACGACCTGCATCCAGAATGCAGTCTTTACCACTCCGCAATTCACTCTCTTCTTCCGCTAATTTGTCTAATCGCGTTTCAAACTAATTTGCGTTCAAGATACCCTGTGACAATGGAGTCTCGATATAATTATACACTAGATAACAGTGGAGTCTCACAATATAATTACACGTTACAGGAAAGCATCCTTCAGCCACCACCTCAATCACTTCCTAACACACCACCCATAGCAGCCGTCCCACCTCCAGTGCCATACTGGCTGCAGAGACTTCCCCAGTATTGTTTCCCAAAGAGTGCTCCCCTACTGAGCCACCCCTCTGACTGACTGCACTGCCTCTTTACTGCGTGAAAAGCTGGGAGCACATCCACATTGAATTACACAATGCGTTGCCTAGTTATGTTAATTGTACAGGAACAGTTTCACTGGGGTTTAGCCATTAAAAAAAAAACATAATATTTATTTGCATTCACAAAGCATCTCAACTTGCTTACTGTTCATGGCAGGATCCCAGGGCTATGTTTCGCCATTCCCAAGTAGTCCAGGTTAATTTTGACATCTAGAACAAGGTTCAGGAAGAGAAAAAAAAATTGTCACACACATTTGCACACTATTATTCACTGTAGATGTTATTTTAAAAAACTGCAGGGTACAGCATCTCCAACCGAGTTAACTATTGGTTTCTGCAGCTCTTTGAGCTCTATCTCCACTGTGAGTGGAAAATTGGATAGCACCACTTCTTGCCTGGAGGGAAAGTTCACATAACTCACTACAAATCTGTGGCATCCTGCTCTTTTCCGTGTATACAGAATATTTCATACACAATTCTGCAAGACCACAGCTTCAAATAAAAATCCATTTCAACAACTGTGCAGAAGAACGAAAAAAGAGCTAATTTTTGCTTTTAAGCTAGTCGGACAGTCCCTCTGTACATCTCCGAAGTACCATTTTACAGAAATCACTAAATGCATACAAGTCACTGAAGGTACAGAAGTCCTAACAGAAGTAATACCTCGCATCACGACACTAAGCCAAGCACACTTTTCATTAAGTTCACCCCCCAGCTGCTTTCCCAGCAGGAAGCTCTCTGGCTGGGCTTGCCAAAAGAGCACCAGTCACAATGGAGTTGAAATAGCACAAAATGACAGCGCAAGGTTTCACAGCCATTTGGAAGTCATCTCACTGGCCAGAATGAACAACCGGAGAGCCGGATTTGGGAGGAGACACTGCTTTTCTTTTGAATGCTGAAAAGACAGCACGTCCAACTGAAAAGGAAAAAAGCAGCCAGTTACCCCAATGTGCAAAGAGCAATTAGCAGTATTGTCATTTGCAATGGCAGTCATTTTTTTTTATTCATTCTAACGTAAAACAGAGCGAGGAAACGCTGGCAAGAACGCTGCCAGCTTTCGCTTCCTCCACGTTTCCTCTCAGAAAATAAAAAAGTTGAAGCGTTACACTTGGCAACTCCTACTCTCACATTCAGTTAGCACCAATAAGCGAGGGTCACTCCTACCATTCAATGAACAATATTTTTTCAGTTACAAGCCCTTGCCAACCTGAAGTTATTCATCCCCTTAAAACAATACTAACAACAAAAATCACATAGGAAATCACAAGTTAACCAATAGTAACACCTAAGAAGCACTGTGGGACATTCAAACTTCTTAACCAAAACAAAGGAGTTACCTGAAGATTACAGAGGCTACTGCAGTCCTATTTCATGAAGCTTTCTTCCTTTTGATACTCCTTGAAGTGCGTAAAATTATTTTCCTTTTTCTATATGCACATCTATGCACGGCAGCCATCAGAAAGACCCATGTTCCAGAACTAAAATATTAACGTCAGGAACAACACACACAATTCATCGGGAAAACTCTTACACAGGTCTTTTTGGTGAAGAAAGCCAGAAAGGCAACAAGTTAGTAGTTTCTGGTGGCAAGAAGCCCTCTAAAGCTGGGAGTAAGGTCGTGGCTTCCCAGCGTCCCCCGTCAGAGCATTCTGCACAACCTGAGCCTCTGCAAAGCCGTGTCAGGCCACTCCAGCGACACACAAGCGTTACAGTGGAGGGCCTTATGAAAGGCTCTCAGTAATGAAAATCCCAAACAATGTCAGACTTGTTAGACACATCTGGGATGGCACCGAAACAATAAAGTCAATACAAAGATAGCGTTTTTTCCTCCAACCCACTCATTTTTTCCTCCTCCCATTTCTTTTTCCACCGTTATTTATTCTTGTCTTCATGTTCGGGATTGTAAAGTGTTGCCATGCAACCTCTTCTCTTGCACATTTGCATTTTCCGGCCCAACTCCCTTCTTCCATTAATTTTACTAATGAATAAACAGTCTGAACTAGTAACGGGAGCTGGCTATAACCATAGTGTGGACTTCCCGGAACGCACGTGGGGAAGGCAGGACACCATCTCACAGCAAGCCCACGCCACAGCCCGCAGTGGCCGCCAGCCTGACAGTGCTGTTGGAGGAGTGCTAGCACTACTGCCGTCCCCTGCATCCCCACAAACCATGCCTAAATTTAACTGCTTCTTTCACTGCACACCAGGACATCACTACAGCCTAACCAGAAAATACCCTCACACCCTACAAGAGTGATGAACTGGGATTCTCTTACTTCTCCCATAATCGCAGGGTTATTTGCACAGGAGAAGCCACATTTCTGCCTGTCAAGCAACCTTTTAGCTTGTGAACCTCTGCCCTGGGCTTGGATCTCCTCCTCTAGATACAGCTGTGCTGTGGAAGAGATCAGCGTCCTCAGCTGCTTGTGCCTGCTCTCTGCCAGAAGGCTACCATCTGAGCTGCTCCTAAGTACAGTCTAACCTATTTACTCAGGATCAACCGATACAGAGAGTGATTATCTAGGCTGTTTAAACTACCCCAGCTTATTTTGGTTGGCATTCTGCAGAAGAGCTCACATAATTGTCTAAATTGCCAGAGGTAAGGTTTACAGCCCCCTTACTGACACATCTTCTCCTTCTACAAACCAGGAATGACGGCCAACAGCAAAACCCCTGCTGGCATCCCAAAGTAACGAGGGCTATTGGCACACTCATCAACACCCAAGGAATGAATTTGAAGAGGAGAACAAGCCTTGCTTAGGTCTGCTCAGCCCATTCCAGGCAAGTAATTTCACCTAGCTCTCAGAGAAGATGTACCTCGGAGCTCCACAAGCAGGGACAGCCACATGAGCACCAAGAGCAACACAACGTGCAAGTCTCTGCCCTGGGAGGAAGGCAAGAGATGCCGGTAAAATCCATCAAGTTGCCTTAAGGCTACAAGTTTTGGAAGAGAAAAATGCTACCACCACAGGCTAAAGTTAGACTACAGGCTTACTAAGATGTTACCAACACCATTAACCATTTTTGTATTCCGTTGTACCCACCCACCCACAAACCCCAGAAAAATAACAGGTGGGAGAAAACCTACAGTAGCATAACAAGATTTGGGAACAGAAACTGCCTTTTTGTTCTGTGCATGTGAAGCACTATCATACCAAGGGCTCGCTCCATCACTGTAGCTCTTAAATGCCATTAGCAAGAGCATTAAAAAAAATTAAAAATAAGGAATCTTGATAGGAAAACAAAATCTCAGGGTCTCTATCTTCTCGCTAAAAGCAGATGCTAGAAGAGTTGCACCATGGTCCATTTAGAGCCTCACAGCAAACTCCTCCACGTACTCAAACTTACATTAAGGTAAGCTACTAAACCACTCCTGAAAAAAATTAGCCTACTTGCAAGGATACGGGCCAGGCTCTCTCTTAGCAAGTGATACCACCAACATCACTAAGGCAACTGGTTAATGACACTTCCACCAACTCCAAGATAGCTGATAGCACGATCACCTCATTTCTGCTCTCCTTTAAATAACAAAACTCCCTGTTTGGACATTAAGTACAAAATTTTCAGTCTCAGCGGGAAAAATAGGGTACCAAGTCTCACCCGGATAACACTACTCCCCACCTCCCCTTCTACCATTAAAGACATCAGTGTTTTGTATTGCCCAAGTCCAAAGAAGAACAGAGACACTGAATGCTTATGCATTTATCATTACTCCTCCGTGACAAATCTGAGCAGCCACAAGAGACCAGTCTGATTTGCATAGTCACGGAGGGAGCAACACAAGACGACTTGAGCAATCTAGTAAATTCAGATTCAATATTGCTGAATTATCTAGATCGAGCCTTTGACTCTTTTGCAGCTCAAGTTTTTAATTCACAGTTTCCAGTTTGAATGTGTGAGCTTGCAAAGTCTTCAGTTTATATAAAATATGTCTCACAGGGCATAAACCCTGATGGAAATACTTTGATTCCACTGTACAAAAAACAAGCTTAGAACAGCAAACCCAAGAGCCCAGCTTAAATTTCTAGATATAACAACATCGCTGCTAAATTGCAAATTCAACATTAGAGAGAACAAAACTAGTTACATTCTGTTCCTGTTAAAAGCTTCCAACATCAACAGGCAATAAAATATAGTTGTTAATAAGTGACAGCAATACAACCACACATGTATTTTGTAACTTCTAGTCGCTACTACTTAAAAAGTTACTCACTAGCAGTGAGCAGAAAGATGATCAGGGACGGGAGGCGGGGGAGATAAACTATTAATACAAGTCTTCTACAACTCTGGCACTGTGGTGGATAATCAGCTTCTAAATATATATACACACACAGAATATATGCCAACGTCTGTAAGATTCTAGTGCCACTCACAGCTTTCTTTAAATAACGGATGTGCTACTCACTTCCTCCGTTCTAGTCAAAATCTGTGGGCAGCCATAAACTCACCCAGAACCATGCCTGTTTTGCAAGACAGAAGCTACTTGAGACTCAGACACCGAGAAGCCAAAAGTTGACAAAGCAGAAGAGCAACCCATTTCTCCCTCTGCTTCCTTCAAGAGCCAGGTAACATCTGCGAGCAGGATGCAGGTCTGTGTTTTGGTTCCTCCAGAGCAGAGACAAAAGCTTTCCCCCTACCTTACTGTAGTGCAGGATTCATGCTTTCATGTAAAGATTTTAATGCAAGAATGAATTTACATGGATCATTTGGCTCCTACACAGATGGAAATCTACCTGGAGAACAGCACTCCCAGGAAACACATTTGGAAACACAGCTGGTTTGAAGCGGGAGCACTGCCCTGGTCCTCCTGCATTGAGTTTGGTGCTCCATCCCCAGCATCTGCTGGGAGAAGCAGTCCTGCTTTCCCTCCACTCACTTCCAGCCACACCATTCGTGCTTCCACCTGTGAGAGCAACAGCAAGGTGTAGCCACAGGGCGAGTTAGCAAACTGATAAAAACGTTACTGAGTGGGTTAGTTTCCCATGAGATAAGAAAAGAAATCACCCTGCAATCACACAAGCCTTCGCTCTGCCTAGGGAGCTGCAGCAGGAGATCGAGGCAGGACCACCCAGAGATGCATCAGATGAGGTACCTGAAGCACCGAACTGCCTCCAAAGCCTCCAGCATCAGATCTTGTCCTCCAAGCATGAATCTTCTCGTTAATTTTCAATCCATAGCAGGTTTATGAAGATGTTTAAAATTTAAAAGAAGTGTTTCACATTTATTTCTTACAGATTTAAGTATGTAGAAAATATACTACAACAATGTTTAACAGAAAGCGCTTCAACTTTAGAAAGCTGGGGTTTGTGCCAGTACGGTAAAAACCTGCTGGATATTTCAGATCATCACCTTAACACACCAATGGATATTATTCATTATCAGATAAGGTCAGTTATTTAAAAGAATCAAAAGTTCCCACGATGCTAAATGAAATGCACGTGGAACATGTTCAACTTGAAACTAGAACAGACCACGCGCATGGAGATGCCAAAAAAACAATCAGGATAAAGGAACTGGGTTGAAAGTCACATGTTTATCCTTGCTTTCTTCGACCTACAGGATTCTCGCTAATATTTAATCATTTCCACCCGTACATATCAAAAATTCTGCTTTATTTTTTTCATGACACAGAACCTCACCTTCCTCATAACAACAGTTTGCACTTGTCCAGATGGAGGTGTAATCAAGCTCGTTTACAGTGTACCATG